AACGCACCATACGAGGGGACCCACGAGTCTCGCCAAAGGGCGGAAGAATCATGTAGAGTGGCGGCGCAGCAAGCGATGATTGGACCCACTCCATTTCTAGAAACCAGAGGATATGTGTTTCTGGTCAAGGTTGATATGATCGTGATCTGGCAGATGAATTACACTTAATGAACTGAATTGGATTGCCGTGTAGCCGGTACACTGCAGTAATGAATCTGCACGCATCTCATTCGAAAAAGGGACGTATGTCGCCAGCGGCGTTGTTTTCAGTCCTCGGGTGTGCTGGCTGATTCAAAGACCTGCTGCCACCAGCAGAAAGAGGCATCGACCGAAAACAAGCCAAAAGGCGGGGCAACAAGAGACAAAGAGAAATTGTGAGTTAAAGTGAATGCAACGCAATACAATAACATCGGACGCCAAAGAACCCGCCCTCGGAATAGGAACGCACAAGCCCGGCCCACCGAATAATCCCCTAGAAAGAACGCGACGCAAAAGCCCCCGAACCCAAAGAATCGAACCCGCAAAAACGTCGGCCGCCCTCCCTCCAAAGAAGCGCAACGCAAAGCAACACAAAATGGAGAATCGAACCCGAGCCCCAAAATAAAAGCGGGGGAGGCAAAGCATAACATAACGCGACCCGCGGGAAAGAAATGAATAAGCGCGTTCCAAAACGAAATTGAATGATGCCCGCAAAAAAACAGAGAGAACGAAGCAAGACACGCCGGGTCGAACGCCAGCCCGAAGAAAGACTCGGAGGTGGAATGAAAACGACGCACCTCCCCTGCGATACACCGAGTCCGGCGTGCCCTGAACCCACGGTCCCACGTCGGGCAGCCCCACGGCCATGCCTTGGAGCGTTCCTTGGCTGAAAATGTAGGTTATTGAGGGGGAGCTCGGTGTGAGCATTAGCGAAGTAGGTGTGGGTGGGGAGAGGAGCTCCAGTCAAAGGCGTCGACATTCGCGGGTCAAGGCCCCACCACCGCAAAATAATAATAAAACAGAAGGAAAGAAAATTAACCAAAAAAAAAACGGTTGCGACACAAACGTAGGTCGGGGAGTCGGAGGGAGGAGGAGCGCGTCCTCGCGGCCCAACACTCGACGCGGCTCCCCACCCATTCGCGCTCCTTCCAAAAGCAAAAGAGCAAAAAAAACGGAAGGAGAGGCAAGGAAAGCAAAGGAGGAACAGTAAGGAAAGGAAATAATGAGTAACGAGGGTTGGATAGATGGAGTCATCAACGGAGAAAGGAGGAGGGGAAAGAGAGGAAAAGGGGAAAGAAGGAGGGGAAAGAGAGGAAAAGGGGAAAGAAGGCGCAGGGACGCATGATGTCGGCTACCACGCGCAGCACCAACAGCGGGGCTCGAGGCTCGAGGCTCGACGCGGCTCCAGATCGAAGAACGCGCGCACAGCCCCAGTAAAACAACCAAAAGAATTCAAGGAAATCAAAAGTAAAGGAAAATCGAAGGAAAGAGAAAGAACGCACATTGCAGCCGCACTCGCAAACACCTCACTGAGCGCGGGGGCCAAAGCGAGGTGCAGCTCGGGAATGTCGAGCGCGGGGCAGAGAGCATGGAATTCGTCGCCGATGAAGAGGTGGGTGTGGGTGCGCGGGCCTGGTGGGGACATGGGGGAAGCGACGAGTGCGGAGGAGAGAGGGACGGACATGAGACACTGCCTCATCGACGCCGCACCCCATAACCCTCAGATTCCCAAACCCATGGTGCGGATACCGAGAGGTGCTGCAGGAGGGTGATCGTCGACCCGTCGATCTAAGTTCTCTGCACAAGTTAGCAGGAATAATGTATAGAGACAGGGACGCACATCGCAGCGGTGTGCAAAGGCAGCCTCCTCTCCACAATGGACTCGTCTAAAGGTTCGTCGCGCAAGGCAAGCGCAGGGGCCGGGCGGCGAGAAAGCGCTGACGCCGCATGGCGCGCCGTGGTTGACGGTTGACTTGAGTCGCCGGCTCGTTGCTGCACATGTCGAAGCTGTGGTCGATTTCGTCGTCGTGGCCGTTGCCCACACGATTGTCTTCAAGTCGTGACCGGGATTGATGGATTTGATCCGGTCGCCACGTTTCTCCGTGCGTGCAGCTTTACTGAGCTTACTCAGTTACTGTACTCACAGCGCTGGTTCCTCAATTTAATAGGCATTTTAGTTAGCAGCGCTTCTCTAAATATTGCAATACAAATAGTTCGGCCTGAAACACAACTTTAAATATCTGATTTGGGACTGAATCAAATTGAATAATATTTGCTTTATTATAGTTAGAAAAGTGAAGCTAACTAAACTGCTCACTAAATCCATAGGCGAGCACTCTGATTGGCTACTAATAGATTTAGTGATCCTTTTAGTTAGTTACACTTTTCTAAGTATAGTAGAACAAATATTATTCAATTTGATGCAGTCCCAAATTAGATACTTAAAATTAAGTTTCGGGCCGAACTATTCGTATTGCAATATTTAGAGGAGCGCTGCTAACTAAAATGCCTATTAAATTGAGGAACCAGCGCTGTGACTATTTCGACCGTTTGTTCACAGCATGTCACCCGTCACAAAAGTTCACCGCATAAGGTCTTCATTCCTCGCCAATCACCCAACATTACCATAAAAGGAAGTCTGGCTGATGCCGGAACGGAATTTTTGACAGTTTTTGGGCCTAATCGGGCCCAAAATCTGAATGTCACCGTCACTGGCCTCAAATTCATTCATTTCACAGGCCTCTGTCACCCGTAACGTGAACAAACGGTCGAAATAGTACAGTACCACTAGCAGAACGGAGTGCTGTCTGGCGGTGCGCGAGTGGGGCACGACGTGCCGCAGCGTTGATTTGGAAGTGTACTGTAGTATTTCGTTCAATTCGTATGGTCACATGTCACACGACCCAAAATCTACGAAATTTTTCGTAAGTCACAGGGTCACAGAGCCAATTTTGGCCTTAACCGAGGATGCCGAGATTTGCCAAGTGTTGCCGGCGGATCAAATTCCCAAAAGGGGACCGGCTACGAAAGGTCCAGTTCGTTTTCGAAGTCACACCCCAAATGGCCTTACGAATTGAACGTAATACTACAGTACAAGGAGGGCAGCTGTTGTCGCCATTCCCGCCATCCTCTTCGGCCACAAAACAAGCATGAACTTCTACCGTGATGCTGGTGACCACTCTTTCGTCGCATTCGCTGCTCTTCCCGCCCTTCACTACGCAGTACTCAACGCTTCCCATCCGAATCGTCGATCTCTCCCAACATCGGTTCGCACATCGAGGAACGTTGTCACCTGCGAAGCCATGCCATGTCTTCATATTCCGTTTGCAATTCCTAAGCGCTCTGAACGGCGAATCCAGTCCTTCCACGTCAATTCCACGCTGCTCTCACAACAGAACTTCTGTTTTGCAGAGGGATCATCCCTGCCGCGCTCGGATGTCTCGTCCATGGGGCCTTCTCCTCGTAAGTATGTCACGTCAGTTTATTCCTTGCGTTCAGAAATTCCTTACTTCCTGTCGTGCCTTGTTCTTCTCTCCCTGTGGGCCGATGCATTTACATGTCTCCCCCGCCAAACCTCGTCTGCGAGAAACAGATGCGGCATCGCGATGATGTAGTAACTTCACAGGCGAGCGCTGCGATCCGACGCGAAGCTGCCTGTTGCCGATGCGAATATCCCGAGTGGTTGAATGCGACGCACCTCGATACTCGAGTCGTTCCGCGCTTTGTTTATTTGCGCAGTCGATTCAGCGCTTGGTGACCGGCCCTTTTATTCTTTTTCTGCTTCCCTTTTTTCGCATTCCCTTATTTCCTTCTTCCAAAGGCATTCCAATACTCGGGTCTCCTACTTGGACGTATCATTCCACGCGTTACGGTGTATGTCGCCTAATGCTTGAATAATTCGATCTTTACTGTTCATGTCGCACATTGCATTTACAGCAAACAAGGCGCACCAATGTGAGGATGGGTTCGATTCCCCACCGGTGCATTGAACTTGATATACGCTTTTTGGGGCCCGATTCCTTGTATTCCTTTCGTTCTTGCTCTTCCTATCCTCCTTTCTCCCTCTTGCTGCATTATACCGGCCCCCAGAAGCTGGAACGAGGTGTGAGCTTCCACCCCACCCCGTCCTTTTTTGGAAATAGAAATTGAACCTTGACTCGACTTCACAGGTGTTGAATCCAAGGCAATGGAATAAGCACCGGTTGTGTGTGGTGCACGCACTGCTCAAGAGTCAATGTACGTAGCCAGTTGTCTATGGCCCACAGTGAATGGGGTTCGATTCCCTGCTGGTGCATGTTCTTCATGAGTAGCTCATTTTTGTATTTAATTTTGATTCTTTCTATTTTTCATCCGTGTCTCACTCTTCGCCCTCACTGGTTGATTTTTGCTTGACTATACGTAAGGTTGTTTCGAAGGTTCCACTGTGAGACGTCACTGAAGTACGAAGGTTGGTGATTTGGCGCCAGTCGAGGTATTCCTTATATCCCAGAAAACTTAACTGCTCTTACCACTGAGCTCCAGCCAAAAGGACAAGCACCGGTTGTGCATGGTGCACATGTCGCTTTCTTATGCGCTGCTAAATTACGTCCACGGTGAACAGGGTTCGATTCCCGGCTGGTGCATGCCCAGGCTGTGTGAGTTTTTTTGATTTTCGCATTCCTCGCCTTCCACTGGTTGGATTTTCCTCCTCTAACACATACAGTGATTCCAAAGGTTCAGATAAGCAGCTCTCCTGCGAGTCATCACTTTCAATAAAGTTACTCTATTGATGAGCACCGGTTGTGCATGGTGCATACACCGCTTTCACAGTGAAGGGGGTTCGATTCCCTGCTGGTGTGTGGGGACAGATACATTATGTTTTTATTTTCTTCTCCCCTGCCGCTCCTCTCCTTTTACTTGTTTGATCCGCCTACATATTGTGAGAAATTTGGGAAGTCGGGCAACTAAGTACATTCTCTTAGATCTCGAATCAGACATCTATGTTATTTCGTATATCTGCGTGCGTCTAAGGTTACAGTGGCGCACCGGTTGTGCACGGTGCACGCACCACTCTTAATACATTTCATGGGCGCTTAGCACTCGCAGTGATCAGGGTTCGATTCCCTGCTGGTGCTTGGCGGCAATTTGAATCTTGCTTTTTGTTTCTTTGCTCTTTTTTTTTGTTTCCGCCTCTGCCGGATTTCTCTAAGTTGCTGGCCTCAAACACGGATGTTAAAACATGGATCAGAGTCACACTGACAGTAAAAGAACAGGTATACCAGTCCTGATACAGGCACCGGTTGTGCATGCTTTCATTTCGTGATCAGGGTCAAAATTTGAGTTCACAGTGACCGGGGTTCGATTCCCTGCCGGTGCATTGGGTTGGACGATGTTTTTTCTTCCATGTCGCACTACTTAGCGGCTCGCGGTGCGCAACAGAGCTCCACCCCAACGAACGTGGAAGCTGGCTGCTTCCAACTCCTCGACGGTCATTTTCTGGCAGCTTCTTGGCGGCTTCGGTCAGGAGACATGTTGACCAAAAAGGTGCGGGTCATCGTCGAGGGCGGTCTTGAAATGGGGTGTGTGTGCCGAAAGCGAAACGAACAGAGCGCGTTTTGCTGTGCTTGATGGGGTCGGACCGGGCGCTGAAACACTGACTACGGGGCTATATGTGAAATATGCGCTTTTACAGAACTGGAATATCCAAGTCCTATATGCAACACACAACACTAACAACACACTGCAATCTTCGTGCGGGTTCAGGGTTCTAATCCAGTATAGATTATGGCAATTTGGACTTAGTTCTTGTGTGAGCGAAGTGTGATTTCAACTCTGCAAGACTGAAGTTCGACTATCAAGGCTTGTACTAGACGCGGAAGCGACTAGAAAGACAAGAAAGTGGTTTTTATAACAATATGGTAGTTGTTGAGGGTTTTGGAGAAATACTCCACAAGAGCGACTTAGTTTCAAGTCCAAGTTCCGTGCAAATGTTATTCGCGAATAGTCTTGTACGTTCAAGACAGTTGCCAACAAGTCCGTTGTTATCAAATCCGTGTTCTCGCGTTCGTTCTCGTGTCCTTATATCACAATATCTCGCGCGCAAACTGATATGATCCAACAAAACCAATATATTGCAAGAAACCCAAACGAAACTTTAATAGCTTCTAATGGTTCTCCGAGTGTCTCCCAAGAACTATCAGATTAGGCGCTAAGCACTAGGTGCTTGAACGTCCAACGAGACGGGGTGAGATTCACTGCTAAACTAGAATATTACATTGCCTTTTATACACTTCAAGAACCCAAACGCGGATACAAACAAAATAGAAACAAACTCTGAGATGGGGATGGCTCGCTGACTAGCTAAGGCTAGTCGGCGTTTATTGAGCTATAATTAGCGATTCCTGGGTCAGTCAGCCGGAATTAAAGATGAATGGAGTATAGATATGGGTATCTGTGGACCAAAGTCCTAATTTGGCCTTAAAGCCGTGGTCAGACGACCAAGTTGGCTCAGTAAGTCCGGAGTAATCAATTCCTCATAGGAACTGAATGGCGCGCAGCTCAGCCTTGGTAGAATTACCAAGATAGAGCCCCACCTCAACGGTCAGTTGACCCTTGACTTATCAGGTATTATCCCCGCTAAGTTACACTCCCTTGTATAACCGCTTTGGGATTCCGCGGATTGCCGCCTGACGGTCCGCGAGTACTGGCTCATGCCTAGGTACCAATGGATAGTTCAATATTGCTCCTAGATGGATTCCCCTCGTAGATATCCTTAATCAGGGACGTGAAGTTACTCCAATCCGTTTCCAGGATGGTTGAGCACTTATTCGTGGATACTCCCTTCGGCCTCGTTTGGCTCCGCGACTTTACCAGAAGCGTTACACAACCTTATCCTAGTGGTCCGTGATACGTTGTACCCCTTTAACTGACTGCCCGGATATGACATCAGCCCTCAGTGAAGATGGTATCTTAAGCGCCCTGGGCGCTTATAATTATAGTAGCGCTAGCAAAATTGGAAAATTGCTAGGCTGGCCCAATGCCAGGCTCATCAGCGGATTGCCGCCTGACGGCCCGCGAGTACTGGCTCATGCCTAGGTACCAATGGATAGTTCAATACTGCTCCTAGATGGATTCCCCTCGAAGATATCCTTAATCAGGGACGTGAAGTTACTCCAATCCGTTTCCAGGATGGTTGAGCACTTATTCGCGGATACTCCCTTCGGCATCGTTTGGCTCCGCGACTTTACCAGAAGCGTTACACAACCTTATCCTAGTGGTCCGCAATACGTTGTACCCCTTTAACTGACTGCCCGGATATGACATCAGCCCTCAGTGAAGATGGTATCTTAAGCGCCCTGGGCGCTTATAATTATAGTAGCGCTAGCAAAATTGGAAAATTGCTAGGCTGGCCCAATGCCAGGCTCATCAGCGCGCCGAGTGGGAAATTGATTGACAGGTGCACCCGGTGGACGTTCTTTAGATACTGTAGTATTACGTTCAATTCGTAAGGCCATTTGGGGTGTGACTTCGAAAACGAACTGGACCTTTCGTAGCCGGTCCCCTTTGGGAATTTGATCCGCCGGCAGCGCTCGGCATCCTCGGTTAAGGCCAAAATCGGCTCTGTGACCCTGTGACTTACGGAAAATTTCGTAGATTTTGGGTCGTGTGACATGTGACCATACGAATTGAACGAAATACTACAGTAGGACGCCCATCGTCTCTTGCAGTTGCACGTCTCAGCCCGGCGTTCACCATGCATGATGAGAGGTGTGTTTCTGCCTCTGTACAAGGTTCCCGCTAATGTTCCCACTGGCGCGTGCAGAGAACTCCTCCCCAACTTCCAAGATCAATGGGTTGGCAATCACCTTCGCGCACCTCTCCGCCCCAGGTATCCGCATCATGGGTTTGGGATTCGAGAATCCGAGGATCGTGGGGCGTGGCTTTGACGAAACCGTTTTCGTGTCTGTCCCTTTGCTTTCATTTTCACTTTTTATTCTACTGTAGTATTTTGTTCAACTCGTAAGGCCATTTGGGGTGTGACTTCGAAAACGAACTGGACCTTTCGTAGCCGGTCCCCTTTTGGGAATTTGATCCGCCGGCAACGCTCAGCAAAGCTCGGCATCTTCGGTTAGGGCCAAAATCGGCTCTGTGACCCTGTGACTTACGAAAATTTTCGTAGATTTTGGGTTGTGTGACATGTGACCATACAAATTGAACGAAATACTACAGTACCACAAATTGACCACAAAATTGCTAATTGTGATCGATGTGAGCAGCCGTCCTTCCATTCGTCTGCTCATGGGGCACCCTCTCCGACGACGTTGATAAGCAGTGATTTCGCCTACGCCTGAAATTCACCAATTTTGGGTTGTTACTGAATATCTCATGCACATCTCAGGGTTTATAACGAACCCAACGTTAGTAGACCAGGGACTACGATTTTACGTTATCCAGAACTTCTGTGGATGAGTATCCAGAAACTCCCATACTGGTTACCTCCGACTACTATACAGGTGGTTCTGGATCCCAATGACGGTTTCATAGTCAGAGGGCATCGTAGTGAACAAAGGAACATCAAGGGATAATATCCATTCTGTGCCATGAGAAGCAGTCTCATAGTGGAGTAATCCAGAAAGAGTTTGCGGATTACTTTGTACATGCTTGTGACAAAATGGGCAACGCGCTAAGACCACATGACCTGTCAAGAGCATTCAAAACCAGAACAAGCCGTTCCGGATCAGGTGTCAAAAGTCCATCAAATATCGATCGACTCAATTGGGCAATCAAGTTCAGTTCTGGATTAGAACTGCACAGGCTATATATTGGAGTTGGGTATCAATCGAAAGGTATTGACCAGACGATTCTGGATATCCACGCAGAACGTAGAGGAAGAGTATTGCTCTTCTCAAAACCAGAGAATAGTAAAGGCGATCGTGTGCTAAAGAAAGCACCAATATAAACCAGGAACAGATCGAACAGAAAGGAGACTTGGCTACCAGGTACTATCCCAAGCGGGTAGGCTGTCTTCTGAAGTACTGGGGCTACGAACAAGTTCAGAGTGCCTATAGGACGGCACGGTTCTGGATTAAACGATACCATTCCGACTTTGCGGGGAGACAATCCAGAAAACTCAGGAAACTAAGATCCGGACTATTTCTATTCAATTCTGACAGAGGCACATATATTGTACGTTAAGGGGCAGTAGTTAGGCACCGTATACCAATAGCGCGATAAGGATAAGAGATATTTATAGAGTAGCAGTATATAAGGAAGGGTATAGTAGCAGGTAGAGCACGGAACCCGTACCCGAAGCTGAAAGCGGAGAGACCTGTGTGTCTTACTCCAGCGAAACAGAAGGACGGTCTACGGCTTGGATTACCTAGAGGCTAAAAGACCCTGTTGTGGTTAAGCTTGTAATTTCGAGTTGCACTTAAAATCTATCAAAGTTTTGAATCCAGAATTGTGTTGAGGGTTTTGTTGAGAACTGTCTTGTTGGTTTCGTTAAAAGGGCTTGCTGAACGTGTGTGTTCGTCTTGGATCATTGCTCTTAACCACAGGTTGGAGTGGGTGAACCAGAGTTGCCAAAACTATAAATTGAACTTGAATATACCGCGCTTCTGGATTTGCTGCAAGTAATCCACAAAGAATAATACAACTGGTCCCGTGTGTCTCCTATCGGCACACAAAGACCCAAACTCGGCCGATCCTTGGTTACATTGTGGTTTTCGTTTGCAGGCTTCGTTTCCGTCTGAACCTTGGGTTTTTGTGGGTTTTGGATTCTAGGATCTAAAGCGCCAATAAGTCAAAGTTTCTGCGTTCCGGATTTCTGTAAGAGGAGATTGCACCCATAGACCGCCGGCAACCGTTTCATCTGGAGCCCACCGCGAGGGGCCAGTTGGTTATTTAAAGTGTTGCTTGTTGTCTGCTAGGAGAAATCCGGTACTTCAACTAGGCCTTCTGTCCGTAAACAGAAATTTGGCAACATTCCGCGTCAGGCTTCTTCACAAGAAACTGATCCGGAAAGTTCATCATACCAAGGGCAAGGAACTTTGCCAGAGTCAGGTTTTGAGCGGCCACCTTCTCGTACTACTCGAACAAAGAGTAGAGCAGGAAAAGAACCGTTACTTCCGCCTCT